GCCCCCTGTGCGTTGTCCCTGGTCACGGCCAGAGCGCAGACATCTCAGGAAGACTTTCCAAGCCTGTCCCCAATATTCTAGGGCGTATGGGGCCCACTGAGAGCCACCCCCGCGGCGGGGCAGCCGGGGTTGGTGGGGCGGCTCAGAGGCTGAGGGTGCGGGCCGTGCTGACTCGGTGCTGGCTTGTCTTTCAGAATGTCTGCTTCATTTTCCCCCAGTTTTTATACCAGTTCTTCTGTGGGTTTTCGCAACAGGTCAGTGCAACGCATGAGTAGACACAGCCTGGGCCCTGCTGTACCCAGGGGGAGGCTGTGCGGGGCGAGCCCTCCACGGGACATGGCGGGGGGGAGGCACTGGGTACTGGCCCCAGCTGCCCTGCGCGCTGAGGCCTGTGTTCCTGGATGCAGGTTCATGAGGGACAGGGCCTTGGGCGATCCGTGCTGGGCTCTGGCTCCACACCTGCATCCCCAGGGCCATGCTCACCGGGGCCTGATGGGTAGACATGCCAGATGCACACTGTGAGTGGGAGCAGGAGGGTCCTGGCACCTGCTGTTAAGTTAATCAGACGCCCTGTGTCACGCACTGCTCAGATGGGCACAGTGGCCAGCTGCTCTCATCTGCAGCAGCAGACCCAGCCAAACCCATGCCAGGAGGAGGGTGATGAGCAGTGCCGACCTCCCTGGGGTTTCCAGCAGTGGTTGGGTGGCTCAGAGGAGCTGTGACTAACCCTGATGCCCCTGAGGTCTCTGCTTACTCTGGTCCTTCTGTAGCTGGAGAGATGACTCCCGACGTACATGAGATGCATTGTACACGTGGGGTTCTCTGTATGTTGAGCGAGGACATTGGTGTCTGGGCTGCGGCAGTGATGGGTGATGCTCATGTGGCTTCTCCTCTGCAGACTTTGTACGATACCGCGTACCTGACCCTCTACAACATCAGCTTCACCTCCCTCCCCATCCTGCTCTACAGCCTGATGGAGCAGCACGTGGGCGTGGATATGCTCAAGCGGGACCCTTCCCTGTACAGGTGCGTGGTGTCCCTGTGCAGGTTCACACCACTGCAGCCTCGTGGGAGCCACAGGGCACAGGGCAGAGCAGAGCCAGGTCCCAAGGAACTCACATCAGATCTGGAAACGCACCCGGCCAGCCAGTTTGCTTGCATCCCCAGGGACTGACAGGGCTGCTTTGTCTCCACGAGTGCACTTCAGGGTTGGTGGGTGACTTAGGCTGCACTTGAAATGTGTGCTGCGCACCTTGTGCTGCCATGTGCTGCTGAGGATGAGGCTCTGTCTTGTGTGGCCCCAGCACCGTATAAGCTGAGGTGCCTTTAAGAGCCCAGAGTTCCATTCTGCTCTGAGTCCAGTGTCTCCGTGGTGTTCAGCTTTCCCGTCCCTGGGGAAACAGCTGGGGCCCACATCACAGGGTGAGAGATTTTTCTAGTTCACAGCTTCAGAGGGTCCAGTCCGTGGTCAGCTGTCCTCAAGCCAGAAATGACATGGTAGAGGGGCGTAGCGGAGGAGAGCTGCTCAGCTCAAAGCAGCCAGGAAGCAGAGAGAGTGAACGAACCAGAGAGGGAGCGAGGGGACAGGAACATGCCCTTCCAGCCCACCCAGGGGCCCATCTTCCCGCCCACAACAGCACGGGCAACCGTGAGCTCCTGGGTGGATCACTAGTCACTGTGAGCAGGCCCCCCACTGTGCAGCCACCGTCCAAAGCCCCCTCTCCAGACACAGGGCTTTCAGGGACGTTACAGATCTGAACCGTGACGTGCTCCTTTTTTGTCAGAGTGTCTGTCTTTTTTACTTCCTTTCTTCCTTTTTCTTTCTTTCTCTTTCTCTCTTTCTCCCTCTCTTAATAACAAGGAGCATGTTTTTCTATTTATAAGTACCCTCAGGACCTCTGCCAGGTGTGATGTTCCTGTGCATTGAGGTCTTTCCACTACACACTGACTTCCAGGCACCGTAGATACAAGTGTAGTTGTGGGGAAACCCGATCCTCGGCCACTCAGGCAGCCTGGATTCCTTGTGTGCACACGTGTATGTACTGCAGGCTGTCTGCCTGTGTACAGGTCAGGAGCTGGTGCTGTGCCGTTGCCCTCACTCCCCTGTGGGCCTTGCTGCCCTCACCCAGTGTGAGGCCCTTACCTGAGACCCGGCGGCCTAGAGCTGGGAGCACATGTGCCATCTTGGACAGTGTCCTGGGGTGGTGGCTGATCCTGGGGCTCGCAGGCCGGGCTTGCTGTGGGCTAGTGGCGAACCCAAACCACCAGGCTGTCCCGTTGGTGCATGCTGCACTGTGCTCTGTGTCACTGTCCTTCAGAAGGACGCGTGTGCCCTGGGCGGCTGCCGGGCACACTGTCACCATAGCGTCCACAGCGATCGAGAGACTGGTGTGCAGGAAAGGGCAGGCTGAAGCACCCTTGCTCTCGTTGCGGGAGACTACAGACGGGGTGATGGTTGCCCCACACCCAGGATGCCGCCCAGAGGCACTGTGCGGGCCCGGTCACTGCGGAGAGTGGGACGGTAGTGGACAGGGGGCCTGGCGCCAGTGTCACAGCAAGGTCCCCATCTTGGTCCTCACACAGGGACATCGCCAAGAACGCACTGCTCCGTTGGCGGGTGTTCATCTACTGGACGTTCCTGGGGCTGTTTGACGCCCTGGTCTTCTTCTTTGGTGCTTATTTCATGTTTGAAAACACAACTGTGACCAGCAATGGACAGGTGAGTATAGGGGGTGGTCTCTGGCCTGGCTGCCCGGGAGCCCTGAGCCCCGCGGTCCTCGTGTGAGACAGGGGCATGGCCTGCTAGGGAGAACGTGTGGCCAGTTAGGAGGACACACTGTGCTGTGTCCAACAGGACGTGTCTTGGCTGTGCAGGGCCAGGCGTGCACTGCACGCTGCGGGCCCTCAGCCCCAGGGGAAGGTCTTCCGGGCTATCTGTAACTGCCCCTCCATGAGCTGACTGCCTGCTGGTTTAGTTATCTCCCAGGGCGGTGCTTTCTGACTGGGGGCCAGGGTCGGAGGCAGCGTGCTGCAGGAGTTCCTGGGGTGCGCAGGTAGCTTTCCTTGGCTCCGAGGAGCTGTGCAGTTGTGGTGGGCGTGCCGCTGCGGTTGTTTGCACCCTTTCTGGGGTTTGTTTTATTCGTATCTCGCTTTTTTCTTTTTGCCACTCGCTTCCCTTCCCACTCTCAGATAATGACCACCAACTCACACATGGTAAGACAATCGTGAGTGTGTCCTCTCTGTGTTTTTGGAGTGCATTAGAAATAAAATATTTCTCGAAAATATTTTCCCACGTGACCTCCTCTGTGTGCTTTGTGGGTAGAGGTGCTGTCAGCTGCTCCTGCCCACATGGACAGTCGACTGCGTGTGTGACTCTCACGTCTCGTGGTGTCCCCTTCCTAGGCTCTGAGGCCCACAGGGAGCCAGGGCCGCTTACGCTGACTCCCCCTGATGATGGCAGAGTGAGCAGTGACACCAGGCCTGTGGGGACACGCTGTGGTGGCACACGAGCCCCCCGGGAGCGTGGGCATTGAGCATTGTCCCTGATGCTGAGCCGCTGCTTGAGGTGACCCCACTGGTGACCTCAGGGGTGCTCCTGAGCCACCTGCCCTCAGGGTAGCCTGTGACCAAACGCTTTGTCCCTATGTGACCCCACCCTCGGCTCCCCGTGTCGTCTTCCCCTGTCGTCCCTCTGCCTGCTGAGTCGGGGACAGAGGTCTTGCTGGTGTCCTCCTGGTGTAGCCTGACGCCTGTGCCTGCTTTCTCCTCACAAGAAGGTGCAGTTTTCACTGTAACAGTTGGTCCCGAGAATGGATTAACAGTCCTGGACTCTGCATTCTTAAAGAATCCGTTACTCGTCTCAGCTTTGCTGGAGCAATTTCTGGTGCTCAGGCCAAGATGCAGTGAAGTGGCCCTGTCCCTCAAGTGTGTGGGCCCCACGCCGATGTCCTCCGGCATCGCAGACATGCAGGCTCCATGTGCGCAGAGCTCCAGCTGTCACCCGGCACCCGTTTCCAAGCTCAGCATCGCGACCTGTGCAATCCTCTCCCTGGGACAGTGCTGGTCAGGGAGGTCCGAAAGGTTCAGGCGGGTCAGGCCTCTCGCCCAGGGCGAGGCTCACGCTGCCACCGCTGCCCACCGTACGCTGCCTGTGCTGCTGCTCAGAGCTGCAGGGGACAGTGACAGCGGCTCCCGGGAGTGCCCTGAAGGCTGGTCACAGAGGAAGACTGAGAGCAGCTCCCTGCTGCAGAAGGTGACCGACACCTTCACTCCAAGGACGTCCCGGCCGACCCCTCCGCAGCAGCGACTCTATCTCCCTGACCCGAGGGTGCACGTGTGGCTAGCCAGTGTTGCACTGCTGGCTGGTAGGTACATGGTGTGCCAGGCTCCCACATTCTCAGCTTGTGCTTCTGACCTGGGTCCTACAAGGCTCCTCAAGCCCCATGAGGCTGCATCCACCTGAGGAGGACGCTTTCCATGGCTCCGTGTCCCCTCTTGTCACCACACTCCTATTGCCAGCCACTTGAGGACAGACGTACGTTAGCCAAAGTGAGGGCAGGAAGAGTCCAGGACGGAGCCTCCAGGTCCAGGCAGTCTGGCTCAGCAGCTGGCATCACGGCCACCGAGACGCGAGCGAGCCTGCGTGAAGGTGTGGTACACGGCAGCTAGTGCCAGCTCACCGGCACGTGTGCAGGGTTGGGACCCCTGAGGCTGTTTTGTGTGTTTGGGATGTGGGTGTCCGTGTGCACCAGGGACTCAAGACAGGGTCTCGGGCGGCTCCTCAGAGGTTCCGCTGCGTCTGCGGAGCTCGGGAGCCCGTGGCACTGCTGTTCGTGGCCTCCTGGCCCTGCAGTCACAGCTGAGCCGCCCCGATGTTCCGCTCTGTGGAGGACTCAGGGCCTCCTACTGCGTGACAGTTGAGCCTGTGGCACCAGTGGGGGCAGGGAGGACCCCAAGACTGGCTGTTTTTGTAGGAGTGCAGTGGATCCCGTGCTATGTCGGATCATGGGCAGCTTCTTAAGGAAAGGTTCAGGATGGGGTATTTCTACGCAGACATCAAACACCCTATTTCTCCTGATGACACAAATGAGAAACCTTGACCACACTGCTGAGTAGCAGCGCTTCCTGGGTGAGCACGCAGGGCTGGGGACAGCTGCAGTGGGAGTCAGGAAGCACTCAAGGCACGGCTGGGCCATGCGGTCAGCGGTGGGCAAGGGGCGCAGAGGGGTTACACGGCCTCGACACAGCGTGTTTGCACACGGCACATTCGCAGGGGCTGGAGGGCTGGAGTGGTGGAGGGCGATACTGCCCCGTGGCCTCCACGGCCCCGAGATTGCCCGGGGTTGCTGGTTGGTTGGCTGAGAGTGAGGGTGTGCAGGCACGAGGCGGTCGGACCTTCAGTGAGGGGTGCCGTCGCGCCAGAGCCATCCTGAGGAGCTGGTGACAGGCATGTCCCTGGGAGTGGAGAAAGAGGGACCCCTGCAGCCCCAGGGGGAGGAGGCTGAAGTCTCAGGGACTCGCCCACCTCCTACTCAAGGTCCTGGTGGCATCATAGTGATAGTATAGGGACTGCTGGCTGCAGGTCAGGGGTCCCATCATAAACAAGTGAGGAGACCTGGGGGCTGAACAGAGTCGGCACCACACTGTCTGTCCCATGAGGGGCGCTCGCTGTGTGTAGGCAGGACCCGGTGGTCATCGCCTCCCAGGGCTCGCAACTCTGGATGCGGGAAGTTGCGCTTTGTCTGCCTGTGGAATGACAGTCGTGGCTCATGTCCTGCCGGAGTTGGGTCCAGGATGCTACATGCTGCCCCAGCAGCCTGTGTCTCCAGGTGCGTCTGCAGGTCACTGCTTAGGAAACCGAGGCCAGGTGGAGCATGTCGGCAAGCACCAAAACCTGTACCGCCACCCCAAAAAAGCGGAGTTTGGAGGAGAGAGCACTCTGACAAGGTCTTCTGAGCTTCTCACCTGCAGCACCGTGGACCTCGGGCCCAGATGGCTCCTTCTCAGGCCTGTCTGTGGGTTTAGCAGCTCAGCTGCCACCTCTGCCTCAGAGCGACGGCGGGAAATGTCTCCAGACACAGCTGTATCCCACAGGCAGAAGCACCGGTCAAGGAGCCCGGTGCACAGAGTGCAATGCTGTGTGGCCCGACTTGCCCAAGCAGAAGGAAGAAGGGGGTCTGACCTCCAGGACGACGCCAAGAAGGGAAGGAGCCAGCTCTGCCTACATGACCCCAAGAGGTTCCCAGCCATCAGAGTTGACTCCTGAGAGGCCGTGCTCACCCCACTGCACACACAGAACCGAGGACCACGCACTCGCCTCCACAGCCCCGAGCTGTAGTGACAGGCATATATATGTGTATGAACATGGACCACAGGGAAAGCCAGGAGCTTTCCAGCTCGTTGGTTCTGTCAGGTAAAGCTTGGGTTTTATTTTGGAGAGCTGCTACAAACCATCTCTTGGAGGCTCAGTCCAGACCCTGCAGACTTGGCGGGCGGCACATCCCCAGGGACACTGAGTGGAGGGGTCCTGGAAAGGTGTCCTCTGCAGGCTTTGGCCCTGTCTGCGCCTCCTGCCATCCCAGTTCCTCTTGGTCCCCTCCCTCGATTGTTACGTCTTTGGCTCTGGCTGCCTGAGGCGTGGCCTTTGTCAACTGTCACACCTGTCCCCTGCGTCTCCCTCCTGATGCTGTCCCCTTCCATGTCCTACGGTTTGTCCAGCCATGGGCTGTCCAGTGTGGCGGTGGGCAGCTGGTCAGCAGGAAGCACTTCGGCAGGTCCTAGGTGTGCGTTGTGTGTGTTCAGCCCAGTCGTGCGGTGCTCTCTGTGTGCTCGGCCGAATGTGAGGACCCGCACGTGCTCAGCATCCCAGGGCCTGAGCCAGCCGCTGAGCTCCATGTCGGACTCTGTGAGGAGCGCAGTCCCAGGCCTTCAGGCTGAGGGCACAGCAGGGGTGGCGGGTCTGCTGCAGGCTCGAGCTGGGTGTGACAGGAGCCATGCATGGACAGGGGGTCACTTGGGCTCTCACCTACAGATGTTTGGGAACTGGACCTTTGGGACGCTGGTGTTCACTGTGATGGTGTTCACGGTCACACTGAAGGTGAGTGGTGGTCGCGGTGCACCCTGCTGCCTGGGGCACGGGGACCCCAACTGTCGGGACCACCAGGCAGCCCTCGGGCCTCCACCTGGCATTAACGCAGGAAGGGCAGGGTCCCAGCAAACCTGGGCCATGCAGCCCTTGGGCTTCTGGGATTCCAGAGTGAAGGGACAAGCCTGTTCTCCATGGGAGGATTCTGACGAGGATTCTTCCAAATAGCAAGCAGCCCCATGCCCTGTGTAATAGAGCAGTTTAGACAAATGAATGTGTGGGAGATTGAACGCGGAAAGCCAGGTAGACCCGTGTAAACGGCGTCATGGAAGTCCCCTAACCCACCCAGCTTCCTCAGTGGAGACGCACCGGCTCTGGGAAGCGCTTCTCGGTAGCCTCCCCGGGACCTCTGGGTCCTGCTCCCTGCCCCTCCTCCTGGTGCCGTGTTTGTTCCCTGCTGGGAGCCCAGGGTTTGGGTGGTTCACTGGGGACATCTTGTGCAGCCATTCCATTTTGGCTGGGTTCTCTTTTCGCCCTGTGCTGCTGAGGTACCTGGCTGCCCACTGCCCCCTCTCCCCACAGCTCGCGCTGGACACGCACTATTGGACGTGGATAAACCACTTTGTCATCTGGGGGTCGCTGCTCTTCTATGTCATCTTCTCCCTGCTCTGGGGAGGAATCATCTGGTGAGGCTCTGGGAGCCGTGATGTGGTTCCCATCGTCTGTGCTGGGTCCAGGCAGGTTCCTGTGTGCCCCGTGTGCCACCCCGGGTGTCTCTGTGCTGTAGCACCGCGCCTGAGATGAGGGTGTACAGCGAAGTTCATTGACCAGCTCTGGGCCTTGGAGGCCTCCAGTCCACAGGCACCAGCACTGCTCTGCGTCTGCAGGGGCCCAGCTGGCCGTGACGTGGCAGGGGCACCACAGACAGGACAGAGGAACCACTAACTCCAGTCCCCTCCTCTCCTCAGGAGCCAGCCAGGCCAGGGTCAGCACAGCACGAGGCCCCCAGCTTCCAGGGCCTTCATGCCATGAGTCCTAGACACCTGCTTTGGTGCTGAGTTCCGCCTTCCCTTCTAGTTTTGTCTTAGTCTCCATCCTTACTGGGACACAACACTGACACCCACAGCGTAAGGAAGAGGTCTGTTTTGGCTCATGTTTCAGTCTCCCATGGGCCAGCTCCAAGGCGGGAACGCAGGGCAGACGGGCCTGGTGTAAGAGCGCTGCTCAGGGCATGGTGCACAGGAAGCAGAGAGAAGGAAGGAGCCGGGAGGGGGATTGGCCCTCCGTGCCCCAGGGACCGCCTCCTCCCAGCAGGGCCCACCTCCACGAGAGAGAGAGAGAGAGAGAGAGAGAGAGAGAGAGAGACACACACACACACACACACACACACACACACACCCACCCAGGCCCCACTTCCTCCCATCAGGCCCTGCCGTAGCAAGTCAGCTCTGAGCCCAGGTCCTAGTCACCTCCCACAAGCCCCACCTGTGAGTGCAGGAGGCCCTGGGGACATCTAGACAGACCAGAACAAGCTCCCAGCAGCCTCCAGGCTGAGATGGGAGCTACCACCCAGTCCTATTCTGCTGCTTTTGCCACTTCAAACTGAATTCCGGGCTCCGGCTTCCCTTGAGGCTGACATCACAGACGTCCTCCCTGCCCCCAGCACCCTCCAGCTCCCACCCGTTCCCCAGTGTGCGCTCGAGCCCTGTGACAGGCAGCGGCGTGCGTGGGCACGGTGAGGTCTGACGCTGGCTCCCTCGGGCAGGCCCTTCCTCAGCTACCAGAGGATGTACTACGTGTTCCTGCACATGCTGTCCTGCGGGCCTGCCTGGCTCGGCATCATCCTGCTCATCACCGTCAGCCTCCTCCCCGACGTCCTCAAGAAAGTCCTGTGCCGGCAGCTGTGGCCAACGGCGACGGAGAGAACCCAGGTACGGAGCCACCAAGGGCCGGGGGCTGGGTGGCCAGACGTGGGGCTGGGGGCGGGAGCCGGGACGGCACAGCCGATTGGCTTTTGCACAAATGGAAGAAACCCAAGGTAATGCAGGAGTCTCAGTGATGCATGACTTTAAACACTGAATTAAGGCCGATGTCTTAAAGAGGAGGAATGTGGGTGTATAATCTGATACTTAGAGTAACAGCTGAGTTGAGAAAAAGGCTAGGAACAGAGATTAACACAGGATAAATTACTTTCTGTCATTCCATAAGACATTTGAATTAATCCCTACTTTTAGGGTTGAGTTGGCTCCTTTTGGAAGGTGAATTTGGCCCAGAGCAGTAGCATGCAAGAGCAGCCGGGTGGTGCTGGTGCTCCCCGGGACAGGAGCAGGAATCGGCCCGATGAGGAGGCGTGAAATTGTCTCTCTGGGAGCGCCTAAAACACAGATTTCCATATGCATGGTGGCACACACCTATAATCCCCACTCTCAGGATAAGGCAGGAGGATACCAGTGCCAAGGCAGTGAGGGCTACATGGCAAGAGTCTGCCTCTAAATAAATAAATAAATAAGTAAAACAGCTCTCCTGTTTCCCTTCAGGGAGGTTCTAATCTTGGCAAGGCAGGCCCAGGACGGAGACAGGAGAGCAGAGGCCACAACAGCTTCTGTGGGTGCAGGGGGCATGGGGAGGGGAACTGTATCCCCGGGGTTCCAGTGGGCAGTTCGGGGTGGACACGGACAGAACCTGGAGACTGGCCAGGCCACCCGGGAGGTTCCACAGGAGCCTGGCGTGTGAGCCCACAGGGGCCCGCGTGGTCTGACGTGCGGACTGGGCCGCCAACTCTGACCTCGCTGATTTAAGCTCCAGAGGCAGACTCGGGACTGGGACCTCACCGGGGCTTTAGGGTAGTGGCTTTGCCGTGCACAGTTCCACAGGGACACAGTATGCACACGTTGGTGATCCACCCCATGCTCAGGGACACTGAGGCAGGAAGGCACTCATGTGGGCCCAGGTTCTAACAGCAGCCTCTTCCCAGAACCTCTCCTCAGAGGTAGTGTCCTGGGACCTCCCACCCGCCTCAGGGGATGGCCCTGCTGCTGCTGGCAACTTCTGAGGCTCCAGGGAGGTGGCGCCTGTACTTCCAGCCTGCCCGTAGCCAGGAGCAGAAGGCAGAGGAAGAGACGGGGTGTGGACAGAAGAGGGAGAGGCCATGGCCGGTGGGGGGGTGGCAGTGGTCGTGGCCTCGCGTGGTGTCTGTTGTGTCTGTCGCCCACCCTGGCGGCAGCCTGCGTATGTGTGTGTGCCGGGATGCGTCCACATAACCAACTTACCTCTCTTGTCTCTCTTCCCTCCCTGTCGTCCTGTCTTCCGCCTGCTTTGCCTAAATAACCACTACTTGTGTCCATGCTCCTCGCGGCTCCGGACGCGGGACGGGCAGGCTAGGAACCAGTGCCTTTCCGTTGAGCAGCCCACCGTCTTTATGCTTTCCCAGACCTCCAGCGGTCTGAGTTTCTGACCACAGGTGACTTACTCCGCCTTCTCGAATGTGTGGGAGGATGGCGTGGGTGCACGCAGGATGGCCGCCTCCGTGGGCTTCCCGGTGCCTTCCACCGCCAGCCACGTCGGAACTTGGTGACAACACGCAGCTCGGGAAGGGCAGCCAGCCTGGGCTTCTTTAACGATAACCCATCCTGCATATCTTCTAAGTAACAAGATAGTGCATTTTTCAAAGCCAGTCATTAACAGCCACCCAAGCTTTGTAGTTAGGTGCCATCAGAGCTGCTTAGAACAAACTCACGATTCCAGCTCCCTGTCTGCACCCTGAGAGCAGCTGGCAGGAAGTCACCAGGGGCGAGGGGCACAGGGACAGGCTCAGGCTGCTCCTGGCACTGGTCAGATCATAGGAGCTCCGGTTCAGAGCAACATTCCAGGCCTTGGCGCAGCTTCTGTGAGCCAAGTGGCTGCTGAGTGTGTGCAGGAGGTAGGCTCTTCAAGCCCCAGGAGGGGCTGCTGCAAGCTGTCCCCTCAGCCCCTGGCCGGACCACAGGCGTCCACACCTGCCACAGAGGCCCTGCTGTTGCACGCACCTGGCACGCACAGGTGAATGCTCTGCTCTGCAAAACTTTGGAGGAATAAACATTCCGGTGGCCCATGGTGGGGCAGATCGGACCTGGAAGAGATGAGGGTCCTTCCTACCTGTCCCTGTCTGAAGGAGAAAGTCCCAGACACCAGGCATGTATGTGTCATAGACATGGCTCGTGTATGATACATACATGTGCATGCAGCCCTGTCTCTGCCTGCATACTGACATGCTGTCCCTGTCCCCGCTGAAGGGGGACAGCTCCATCTCTGGCTCACATCCCTCTACCTAGACATTCACCTGGTCTCTGCCGATCTGTAACCCTCCAGCCTCTGCCTGCCACTGGGGAGAGCCCAGTGAGACTGGAACCACGTGCGGAGCCCTCGAGGCAAATGCAGGGGCTGAGATGCCCCGTCCGCCAGGCACAGATGGCCAGCTGCTGCCCCCTGGCCCTGCCAAGGACATGGGCACACAGGAGTGTGTGTGAGTGTGGCAGGCCACAGGGCTGTGGTCGGCTGCTGCATGGTCAGAGCCTGTCAGGGCCCTCCAGCTGAGGGACACGGACTGTCGCCGTCCCGGCCTGCCCGGCCCCGGCCTCCCGTGTCCACACATCTCAGTGTCTCCCTCGCCCTTGCAGAGGCACGCTCAGCACAAAGCACTGGCTGACTCCACGCCGAGCCGCGACGGGCCCCTGCTGAAGGACCTCTTGCCCCAGCCGAGGCGCTGCTAGCGCTGCGCTAGGTAACGTGCAGCCGCTGCCTGCGGGCATGGCTGGTGTGCTGTGACTCCTTTGCACTCTTTTTCCTCCAAAGTTTTGCTGTGCTGTGCCAGTTTTGGTAACAGAGGTTCACTGTGCAAAAAGAGCACCCCTTGCAGCACGCGTGTGCATGTGCTTCCCAGGTAAGTGCCTGCAGGGGAGCCTGCAGGGGGACTGAGACGCAGGGAGCGCACCGCGCCCACACACACCACGCACACAGCAGCTCCCTCGCCCCTTCAGCCAAGAGCCAGTCAGGCGAGCCCTATGCTGAAACTCAGAGGAGTGTTGTGTGCACCCTGGACCTGTGTTGTCCGTGGTTGACACCAGCCATGTGGCTGGCCCTGTGTGCACCAGGCCCGCTCCTTTCACTGCCCTCCCTGTTCATGCCAGGCCTTGGGTACCAGAGCTCTGTGCCTAAATGTGGAGACGCTGCCTCCGTCGCCAGTCCAGGGCAAACCTGTCCCTCAGTGGCGTGGGGACAGCAACTCCGCAGGGGTGACACAGGGCAGTGGTGTGTGCTCCTGAGGAGGCCTGCGCCCTGAGTGTATTCTCTCGTCTCCCAGCAGAACATGCAGCGTCCAGATGGCAGTCCAGAGCTCGCCCCGCCTGCCTCTCTGCAGAGCCCAGGTGCTCTTTGCCCTAGGCCTGCAGCCGCCCTGCACAGTGCCACGTCCAGGAAGGTGCCGCGTGTGCTCTGGAGGAGTGAAGAGTACACCGTGCTTTTGCCAGCCAGGGCCTCGCCTGTCACTGTCGCAGTCCCCGAGTCCTGGCGGGACACACCCACATGATGGACAGGCAGACAGATGGACAGAGGTTACCCGGGGCAGCCTGGGGCGTGTGTGCGGGTGCCTGCCCCGTCTGCGAGGATGGGGCACCCTGCGATTGTCTCCGCCAGCCCTACTGGGCTCTGGTACAGGACCTTCTTTCTGCCGGGCCCGTCCAAGTGCCCACCTGCCTGTCCTCCATGTCTGTTGTGACTGCACAGAAAAACCCGTCCCTGGCCACAGGGCCAGTGGCTGCCCAGTGGCCGTGCCACCCATGGACCACCTCGAGGACTGCCATGCCCTGCTCATGGCGCCCCCTCTGCACCTCCCTCCTGCAAAACTGCCACAGTGCGATCTGGGAAGCGAGCACCTCAGACCCTCGACTGCATCCACCCCCGGCCTGCAGCCTCGCTCTGCCCACGTGCGCTGTCCCCTTTGGGGAGCCTCTGGTCTGCTGAGGAGAGGCTGCCCTTATATGCTGGAGCTTTGGAGGGTTCGGGTCCCTTCTTATGTCACGGGCTGCCCTGTAGAGGGGACTGTGTCCACTGTGGGCGGGGCTCACTGTTGGCCAGGCCTCTGCAGTATTCGGAGCGGATGTCAGCTCATCTGCCTGGGAAGTGTTCGTTCGTCGGGTGCTAGGGCAGTGTGAGGCACTGGAGCAGGTCTTTGTCTGTAGTCAGCTCCGTCCCCTCTAAGAGGTGGTCCGTCCCCTGGGGCCCATCTCAGGCTGACGTGGGCCCCAGTGCCACGTCAGTTTGCAACTCAGCCACCTCCGTGTGAACCCCCTGCAGGCTGCATCTTTCTGGGCCTCTCCGGCTTAGGGTTTGTCCAGGTCTTCTCTGAGGTAGACAGGCCATCAGAGGCTGCTGTACTGTGACGTCCTCCCGACTTTCACCCCTGGTCTCTATTCCCAGAGGGATCTACATGCCGTAGCCTTAATGGTCCCAGTGTAGGGAAGACATTTCAGCTCGAGGTTCCAGCCTCAGCCAGGAGCACAAGGTTCTGCAGAAAAGCCTCCACCAGCAGCCAGAGAAGCCAGCGCTGAGCTGCTGTCACGGGCTAGGGTGGGTGGCCAGGCCAGGGGTGTGGTGCACTCCCCAGGGTGGTGTTGGAGAGCGGATCGCTGAGAGACGCAACTTTTGCATCTGGCTTTGTCAAGCCGTGTTGTCACCCCAACCTGGGGCTCGATCAGGGGCCCAGGTGGCAGCACAGCAGTTGGGGCGAGTGGGGAGAGTGAGCACAGGACGGACGGGGTTACGTTTGGCTGGGAAGAGACGGGCGGAGGGCGCCTCTCCTTCCAGGCCTCCTCTGTTCCCACTCGTCCCTCCGAGCCACCCGCCTGGCCACTGGCCCACAGTGCCATCCCTGTCCACGTGGGCGCCTGCCCCGCCCGGTCCACGCTGACCTGCAGACAACGATGTGCATTTCTAAAGCCCTTTTTAAGGACCCAAAGTGGGTACAAATGTAAAACCTGTGGGGGGACAGATTCTCTGTATGTTTAGTTAACAAATTATTTGTAATGTATTTTTTTAGAAATCTTACAATTGCCTTTGCACTGAAGTATTTTCATAGCTGTTTCTATCTCTTTTATCCATTTATTTGCTAACATATCATCTAATTTTTAAAGTATGTTTTTAAAGCTTTCATTTTTTAAGTTTATGAAATTTCGGCCACTTTGCATTTAAATTCCGGGCAGAAGTTGGCTGACGGCTGACGAATGTGGATCTTCAGGTGTCATTTTCTTCTCCACGCCTCCTCATCCCTGGGCGTCCGTGGCAGTGATGCGTCGGAGCGGACAGTAAAAGCACAATGGTTTGCTCCGCTCCTCGGCAGTGTTACCTGCTCTTCATTCTTGCTTTCATTTCCATCCTCAGCCTTAATACTCCCTAGAGCAAGGGTCCCACGCAACCGCCCCGCCTGCGTGGGGCACCCCCTCCACCCCAGCTCTGGTCTTCACACGAAGGCACCAGAGCTCTCACATGCACCGTGTCGTTGCCCAGGATTTATTAAACGTGTGTGCCTAGTCGTTGAAACAGGCGAAGGGCACAAGATAGAAATCAGGAAAAGAAGAACCCCGGAGTGAGGACCTTTCAGACAAGGGTAAATGCGCTCCTCTGCCTCAGGGTGGCTCCTGTGTGCTTGCCTTAAACTAACTTCACAGCAAGTGATGTGGACCTGAAGCATTTTCCTAGGTTTGAAAAGCTCATTTGCTGCTGCACATGTTCATCGCTGGTCAGCTCGCGGCTCCCGACGCTGCTCAGGTCACGCGGCTCCTGGCTCGCACCGTCTGCTCGCTCCTACCAGTGTCCTGGCCGTGTGTGTCTGCTCCTTGTTCACGCACAGCCCCTGTGTGCAAGCTTGCATGCACCTGTGCGCACACACCCACAAACACACGTGCTCCCCCACATCCCACACACCCGCCTCCTTCCTCAAGCCCCTGTGTGAAGCTCTGGCCAAGCTGGGCCCATCAGGCCCCTGGACGACACAGGCGCGCGCACATATGCACCCGCATCCTGCGAAGGAGGTGTGGCCACACTGGCACGAGGGCCCTGAACAAAACCACGGAACCGTGACCGAGCACCCCTGCCCAGGGAATCCAGTGCCCCAGGCAGAAGCGCCTTCTCCCCAGGTCTGCACCAAGCCATGCGACAGCCAGGAAGTGACAGCCAGGAAACGGGCAGACTCACGCTACCCAGCCCTGAGCGCAGCCAACCGAGGCCACCCCAGCGGCCTGGACCAGGCAGGGCAGCACAGGTGACAAGAGGAAGACAGGCCGTGTGTTGACAGATTCCTTCCATCAGCCCCGGGTCCTGCGCAGTCACCAGCCTGGGCCTTGGAATGCCAAGCTCATGCGACCACAGTGACTGGCATCGAACTCACACAACCACTTTTATTTCACCGTAATATTATTTATTGACAGCACAGTATAACAGTGGGTCCTTGCATTCTACATTTCCTTTGGAAGTTACTGTAATTTTAAAAACCAGAAAAAATACCAGTTGGCGAATGCAATCTTTTTATTTATTTATTTTTTTAGCTAGAGGGTAAGTGAACAGGAATGAGAATCATTGATAGTGTGTCTGTAAACAAAGCTTTAATGAAGATGTGTTGGAAGTATTATGAAAGTATGATTCTACTTTTGCAGAAAAAATCTAAAGATAATTTATATAGCTTTATTTTTTACCTTATCAAGATACACAGAATTTTAATATGCATATATCATCCCTGACTTAAAATTATGTGTGTCTGCATTACCACTTAAAATGTCCATTCATTATGTAATGTAATCAGAGAGCCTTCGAAAATGTATTTTACATGATTGGTATCTAGTTGTCACCATCATAAACACTGAAGTTTATTTTTAAATTATTAAACAGAGTAGGTGCATTTAGCATAAATCATTCTCCAACAGTGATGATTCATTAACCGGCTTTAAGACATTAAATTGTGAATTAAACCAAATCAAACATTTCTGAAAAATTTATTTTGTATGCTACATTTTTAACTTTTATTTGTGTAGATAAGGACAACTTGGTAACCATAGTGATACCAGACTTTTCTGTGGGTTAAGCAGGACACTTGCATCTGCTTACAATAAAGACACAAAACCTGACTGCGCGCCTTTTAAATGCGTAAGGTCACCTAAGTTTTGCTTGTGCTTTCTGCTAAGCATAGAGAGCTGTCTGGTCTGGAGTGGGATTGGAGAGGATTTTCAGAGGTCAGACCCCTGAGTTCACTGGCTATGGGGGAGTGGGAACCCCAGCCCCAGCCACCCTTTGAGCAGTGCACTCCGACACTCAGCCATTCGCCCCGTCAGGCCGTCATCCCCCTCCAGTGGCCGCTGCCTTGTGCATCTCCGTCTCGGGCATGGGGCCTGGCCCCCGCCCTAGGGCTGCAGTCTTCAGCCTGTTCAGAACGTGGCACATGGCGGGAGGTGAGCATGGCCGAGGAGCTCAGTGTCCTGTGTCTCCAACCGCTGCGTCACTGGCCTCTACACTGAGCTCCGCCTCCTGCCAGGTCAGCAGGAGTCCCGTGGAGCCAGGGGAGCACAGCACACACCAGGGAGCAACGCCGCGGCTCCTCGAAGAATCTAGGGGTGGTGTCCCCATCATCACTCCTAGAGAAACCAGTCTGCCTTAGTTCCCTTTCTCATTTCTGAGACAATGAAGAAGGAAAGGGCTGGCTCCAAGGCAGGGTGGCACCACAGAGGAGAGCAGTTAATGGGGGTGGGAGACCGCAAAAGCAACGAGACTTAACCACACCTTTTGCCCTTCTCACACCCTGTATAGGCGGCTGGGATGCGGGTGGTTCCAGCCAATCAGTGCACAGTATTCACACACCCTTGATCCCAGCGTCACACACTAATCCAGAAACTCTGAAAAAGCCCCACCCAGGACCGCGTGAGGCTTCGGGGGTGGGCATCTAGACACAGCCATCACAGATCCCCGGTGCCTGAAGACTGGGGACAGCTGGTGGGAGCAGGAGGATGGGCTTGCAGGAGCCGGGCAGAGGCGGCCCCCATGCAGCGTGACCTGAGCCAGGGCTCCTGCTGTCTGGCAAGAGGGAGAGAGAGAGGGAGCCCAGCCCCGTGGCAGACGCTGTCCTCCCTCCCACCCAGCGGGCACCTCAGGGACTGAGCCAGAGCTGGCCTCCCCCACGGGCTGTCCTGCCAAGGCCAAGATATTTTGTAACTCAAAACTATAGATGAAAACCAGGTGAGGTGGTACGCACCTGTAATCTCTGCATGCTGGGAGGCTAAGGCAGGAGGATCGAAATTTCAAGCCCAGCTTGGGGAACTCAGGGACTCGGTGAGATCGCATCTCAGAATACAAAGGTAAGGGTCTGGAGATGCAGCTCAGCCTGAGGCCCTAGGTTCAATGCAATGCTGCAAAAAAAGAGCAGAGAAGCTACAGATGCCAGTATGGGAAGCAACTCATCACGCTTGGTGGCTGGCAGAGGGGACCTGCTTCAGGGCAGAGGCCGCACAGGCTGCCCAGGGCAGCACCAAGTTTCAGGGGTGCTGGCTGGGGTCAGGGGGCCACAGGCTGCCCCGGTGCCCGGCCAGGGTCCTGCCTCTTCCACCCAGCTCCAAACTGCCCAGCCTGTTTCCTAGGACATGACCACAGAGCCACTGACCATACCTGCACAGGGGTCCTGGGGTGCAGGAGCTCTCACTCCCGCTCCTGGCCTGGGGGGCTCAGAGGCCACTGAGCTTGACGAGGCAGGGACAGGGTGGGGGCTGTGGAGCCCTTCACCACCCACTTGCCTTCAGGACTGCCCGCTCCTCGGGGTACAGGCCCTAGGGGACCCTACACGCTGCTGTTATGATGGCAGGGCTTTTCCATGGGGGGTCAGTGCTGTGGGGCGTGCTGGAGCTGAGGTCCCCTCTGTGCACTCCTAGGGCCGCTCAGAGCCCTCCTCCAGGCCACCCTCCAGCCTGAGCTCAGGCAGCATGGCCAGCATCAAGGCCCCAGAGATGGTCCTCAGTGAGGCCTTTGCTCCTTCTCCCCCAGGGTGGCCAGGCCTCCATCACCCCCACAAAAGGACCACCCATCATGCAGGGACCGGTCCTGCCCGGCAGACCCCACAACGGCTCCTCAGAGTTTCCTTCCTGTGCTGCCTCCTCCCTCTGCCCTCCTGCAACTGTGAGGTTGCCCAGGGTGCTGTGACCTGCTGTGTGGGGACCGCACCCAGGAGCCACCCAGAGCCACAGCAAATCCACCTGGCTATGATGAGCCTGACACCCTCTCCTCCTGGGCCCCACGTGCCACAGGC